TATATAAGTACAGTCCATTTACCATCATTATCATTATTACTTCACAATGACAAAATTGCTGTACAGCTTCTACTAAAGTCAAGTTGCCAAGTCAACATCTAAGATGGCCACCACTATTTATTTATGGAAATTGGCCAGCCCAATCATTTGAGGAAACTATGCTTTATAGTTTTTATATTGCTTAAAAGTATAACTTAGCTAAATTGATTGGGGTGGCCCAACATTAATCTATGGTGACCAAGGCCACCAGTGACTACCCCCTGGCTCCTCCAATGCACTTGATGGTGGATAAACTTGCTCCCACCACTCGTCAGGATCTGATTTGGATCTGATTTCACTGATTTGGACAAGCAAAAAGAAAAAAGAAAGAACCAAACCATTCACTATTCCAGTACCTCAGCAATGGGGGACATCGGTGCACCATAAATCCTTTCATGGCCTGTTCCCTTCGTATATCTCCCACCATATGAAACCTGGTCACTTCAGTTACAGTGTGCACTCCCAGACCTTATTTACCTACAGCATCCCCTTAGTATGGACTGAACTTGAGAAGGAGACCTCTTACGCTGCTCCTGTAACCTGGAACACCTTGCAATAGTATTTGAAATTGTACACTTTGATTTGTTTGAGGGAAAATTAAACACTTTTTAAGGATTCTTGAAAAGTTTTTGAATGCTTGTTCTTATTTTTGATATTGTCCTTATTTTATTACAATACAGGTTTTTTTTAATACTGTTGTAACAGGTCTCTCCTGAAAACAAGTCACAGGGTTTCAATGAAACTACATGTATATTTAAAGCATAAATAAAAGAGGCCAATGAATGTTTGATATTTATACTAACAGATTCTTTGATTTGCCATGCATGACTGTCGTGCTGCAGTTACATCAGCACTGCATGATGAGGTATTTTAGGCTGCTGACAGGCAGCAGGTCATGGCACTCTTTAATATGACAGTTATTAGGACTACTGGGCTGCAATCTGCTCCCTGTCATGACACAATGGTAAAGACAGGAAAGGTAAAAAATGGGGCATTTAGTTCTGTTGAGGGCTATAACCACAGAACTGCTACATCACCCTCTTTTTTA